AATGAACAAACAGCGGGCTCACCACGACGACGACCACGACGAAAGGAGGGAGGAGGAGGAAGAGGAGGAGGGAGGAGGAGGGAGGAGGAGAGAGGAGGAGGAGGAGGATGATGATGATGATGATGATGATGAGGAGGAGGAGGAGGAGGAGGAGGAGGAGGAGGAGGAAGAGGAGAGGGAAGGGAGGGACGGAGGGAAGGAGGGAAGGAGGGAAGGAGGGAGGAAAGGAAGGAGGAAAGGGAGGAGGGTGGGGGCTGAAGGGCATTCGTATACTGGGCCACACAGAGCGACAGCGGGGCCACTGAGGGCAGCAGCAAAAAGGTCACGAAGGGCAGCGAGAGGGCCACGAAGGGCGACAGCGGGGCTACCAAGGGCATATAATGCGGGGCCACAATGGGCAGCGACGGGGCCACGAAGGGCAGCGAGCGAAGGCAACCGCGGAACCAGTACGGGCAGCGAGGGGCATCAAAAGCGGGCGAAGGGCAGCGAGCGGCGACTGCAGTCCCTAACGGGCTGGCCGGGCGGGCAGGCCCAGACGAGCGGGTCGAACGGGCGGATCGTTGAAGCGTCAATTCTGCTTGAACCGCCAAGCAATATGTAGCGGGAGCGCGATTCCTGAGTGTCGAGGAGCGGCATCGGGAATACATTGTAAGGAAGTATCAAGCGAAAACCGCGATTCGGTGGTAAGTTGCAAAGAAGCCTCAAGCGAGAGCGCGATTCTATACTAAATGGTGAGGAAGTATCGAGCGGGAACCGCGATCCGGTGGTAAATTGCAAAAAAAGTCCGAGGCCAGAGCGCGATTCTTCAATACATTCCGAGGAAATATCAGGCGGGAACCGCTGTTGTCGTAAACCGGGGCCAACAACGCAATCTGACCCTCAAGACTTTCCCGGATAAAAAACAAGGTGCGAGCCCCGGGAAGGGCACTTCAATCGAAAAAACAATGTGCACCGGACGGGGGGCATCAACAATAATATTCTTCAGAAATTAGAATTCAACCACAACAACAACAGCAGCAACAACAGCAGCAACACCAACAACAACAATCATTTCAAGACTGTTCGCCCTTATCTGATCGAATGTCCAAAAACGCGTATTTCCCAAACTCTCGATACCCGGCCTCTTCGTCTTCGATCGAACCCATTTTGGGGGGTATACCTTTCTTCCCTGCAGGCCGGGCCCCGGCAAGCGGCGGGGCGGCCGCGGACCGTCGGCCTGGCCAGCGGCAGCGCTGATCAGCGGGGTGGCCGCGGACCGTCGACCCGACCCCAAGAGGGACGGACAGGGGACCGACCACGACGACGACGACGACGGCGTCGACGACGACGGCGACGACGACGGCGACGACAAGCGAAAGCGAGAGCGAGAGAGAACGACAGCAGGGCCACAAGGACACGAAGTAGGCCACGAAGGGCGACAGCGGGGACACGAAGGGAATGCGTATGGGACCACGAAGAGCGCGAACGAGCGGGGGCCACGAAGGGCAGATAATGCGGGGCCACAGAAGGCAACGATGGGGCCACTTAGGGTAGCAACTGGGTCACGTAGGACAGTGAGGGGGCCACAAACTGCGACAGCGGGGCCACGAAGGGCATGCACACGGGGCCACAACGGGCGCGAAAGAGCGGGGGCCACGAAGGGCATACGTATACTGGGCCGCGGAGGGCAAGGACGGGGCCACTGAGGGCAGCAACGGGGCCACGAAGGGCAGCAACGGGGCCACGAAGGGCGACAGCGGGGCCACGAAGGGCATGCATATGGGGCCACCACGGGCGCGAACGAGCGGGGGCCACGAAGGGCATACATATATGGGGCCACGAAAGGCAGCGAAGGGGCCACGAAGGGCAGCGAGGGGGCCACTAAGGGCTGCAACGGGGCCACGAAGGGCTGCGACGGGGCCACGAAGGGCAGCGAGGGGACCACGAAGGACTGCAACGGGGCCACGAAACAAAGCGAGGGGGCCACGAAGGGCTGCAACGGGGCCACAAAGGGCAGCGAGGAGGCCACGAGGGGCTGCAACGGCGCCACGAAGGGCAGCGAGGGGGCCACGAAGGGCTGCAACGGGGCCACGAAGGGCAGCGAGGTCCCGATTCCTAGGTAATCTGTGAGGGAGTCCTAGGCGTGAGCGCGACTCCTGGGTGCCTGGGTGTCAGGAGCGCGGCGTTTGAGTAAACTGCCGGAAATTCCAACGCAAGGGCGCTATTATTCCATAATAAGCAAGGCTCCAGCGAGAGCGCGACTCCAGAGCGCCGGGAGAGCGATTCCTGAATAAATTGTAAGGAAGTCCCAAGCGAGAGCGCGATGCCTGAATAAAATGCGAGGAATTCTCCGGCGGGAGCTGGGGTCCTGGCTAAATTGTGAGGAAGTCTCAGGCGGGAGCCGTTGAGGGACCCAAGAGGGGGGGCGCGAACTGACATGTCAAGCACTCGGCCACACAATGACCCTCGAGACTTCCAGCAGGCCCCCAAGAGTCCCCCAAAAGGCCCCCCAGGAGGCCCCCGAGAGGCTCCCAGGAGGCTCCAAGAGGAGCCCAAGAGGCCCCGAGAGGGCCTCCGAGGGGCACGCCAAGGAACCCTCATATGCATTGAAGATGCCTCTGGTCCACGACCCAGGCACGGAGGCAGGAGGGCCGAAGGCCACTGAGCAGAAGTGGCACAACGTCCTGTCTCGAGTCCGCCGCCCCTTGTCGATTCATCGCAGGGGTGCCTGGCGTGCTGGACTTCTTACGGTTTGGTTTTGGTTCTTTCTCCAAAAGACGGCCCGTCCCGCTGGGGTCCCGGAAGGCAGCGTAAACACTCTCAGCGTCCACAACAAATCCGCCAAGACGGCTCAAGATGGCCTCCAAGATGGCCACGTTAACCCAGGATGGCCTCCAAGATGGTCCAAGATGGGATCCAAGTTCGCCCAAGATGGTCCAAGACTGCCTCCAAGACGGCCCAAGAGCTCCCCAAGATACCTCCAAGTTCGCCCAAGAAGCCTCCAAGACGGCCCAACGCGACCCAAGAGGCCTCCAAGAGGTCCACCACGATGACCCGAAGAGTCCAAAATCATTGATTTCCCGAAGGTGTTTGAAGGATTTTAGCATTTGCCTCTTCTCGGCATTCCGACGGCTCAAGACGGCCCAAGACGCCGCCGCCCCAAGATCGCCCACGAGGCGTCCAAGAGGGCCCCGTGACGGCCCAAGAGGCCTCCAAGACGGCCCCAAGAGGGCCCCAAGACGGCCCAAGAGACCTCCAATACGCCCAAGATGGCCTCCAAGACGGCCCCGAAGCGCCCCAAGAGGACCCCAAGTCGGTTCAGAGAGGCCCCCAAGACGGCTCCCGACGGCGTCAGACGGGCCAGGAGCCCACCAAGATGGCCGAAGTTGGCTCGAAGCTGGCCCAAGACGGCCCAAGAGGCCTCCAAGAGCGCCTCCAGGAAAGCCAGAAAAAGGCCAAAAACAATAATGGGCCATAGGTGTTTGAAGGATTTGGACAATTGCTTCTTTTCGGCCTTCCGACGGACCGAGACGGCTCAAGAGCCCCCAAAGATCGCCCAACGATCGCCCAAAATGCCTCCAAGATGGCGCCAGAACGGCCCAAGAGGCCCCCAAGACGGCCCCAAGAGGCCACCAAGACGGCCCAGGAGGCTTTTAAGACGCCCAAGATGGCCTCCAGGACGGCCCTGGAGCATTCCAAGAGGGACCCAAGTCGGCTCAGAGAGGCTCCCCAAACGGCGTCCGACGGCGTCGGACGGGCCAGGGGCCCACCAAGACGGCCGAAGATGGCACTACGATGGCCCAAGACGGCCCAAGAGGCCTCCAAGAGGGCCTTCAGGAAAGCCGAAAAGGACCAACATCATTGATTTCCCATGAGTGTTTGAAGGATTGTGGCAGTTGCTGTGTTTCGGCCTCCCGACGGCCCGAGACGGCCCAAGTGCCCCCAAAGATCGCCCAAGGGGCCCAAGACGGGCCCAAGAGGCCCCCAAGACGGCCCAAGAGGCCTCCAAGACGCTCGAGGTGGCCTCCAAGACGGCCCAAGAGCCTTCCAAGACGTCCTCCAAGAAGTCCCGGAAGGGTCAAAATGGCCTCCAGGCGGCCAGGATAACCTTCAAGATGCCCACGTGTTCCCCGAAAGCTTTCCAAACCGATTCGGGGAACAGCAGGTCCGATACCTTGGCAGGTCTGGCCTCAACGTTCGGTCACATGGGCGCTTCCAAAAAGGCAGGGGGCGGCGGTGATTCGCTGTAGGCGTCTAGGATAGAAGTGGCACAACGTCCTGTCTCTTCTCCAACCTCGAGGGGCTCTTCAAGCCGTTCTGGGATACGGCTCCTTTCCCGATGCCTCGTGATCCCCCCTCATGGGCGGCGCACCTGGCCGTAAGGCCTCTCCAATGAAACTGAACAACAGCCGCCTCGATGTTTCGAGCCACAAGATGACTGTACACTCCCACTCCGCTACCATCGACGGCTGACAGGCGGAGGCAGCGAGGAGAGCGAGGCGGGGAGGAGGAGAAGGAGGAGGAGGAGGCGGAGGGGGAGGAGGAGGAGGTTGAGGAGGAGGAGGAGGAGGAGGAGGAGGCAGGGGAGAAGGATGAGGAGGAGACGAGCGAGGAGAGCGAGGAGGCCAGCTGGAGGAGGCGAGGCAGCTGGAGGAGGAGGAGGAGGTGGAGGAGGAGGAGGAGGTGGAGGAGGAGAGCGCCGAGGGAGAGCGAGGAGGCCAGCTGGAGGAGGAGGAGGAGGGGAGGAGGAGGAGTACATGGCATCCCCCTCGTCATCATTCTCCTCCTCCTCCTCCAGCTCTCCCTCCTCCTCCTCCTCCTCATCTCCTCCTTTTCTTCCTCCTCCTCCTCCTCCTCCTCATCCTCATCCCCCGCCTCCCCCTCCCCTCGAGGAGGAGGAAAACGACGACGACGACGACGACGACGACGACGACGACGGCGACGAAGACAACGACAGCGCGACGAAGACGACGACGACGACGACGACGACGACGACGACGACGACGACGAGGGGGGCAGGC